GAATGCCCGTAAGAGATATTCAACACCCCCGCAATCTCTTCGTCGAGTACTCGTCTGAACGCCTCGGCCAACGCCGAGTTCCCCTGGACTGCGGCATCCCAGTGGGGCTCGGAACGCGACGACCACGACCTGACCCAGGGTTCCCGACTCATACTCCAGACCCGCCCCACCATCGAGATGAGGCCGATCACCCGATCACCCGAGACCTTCTTTGGAAGAAGACGGCCAATGATGAGCATGGTCTGGGCTGGCCACGCCAGCAAATATTCGACAGAGTTCAACAAGGCGGCAAGCTCTGCCAGACCCTCGTCTGGCAACCTTTCCATGTCACATGGTGTGAGGCGATCAACCCCCATGCCAGCTCTGGATTTCATGGCACGCAGCGCACGCCTCAAGTCTCCAACGGTGAGCTCGGGAAGCGGATCAGGGTCCCTCCGAACGGCCTCCCGAATGACCTGCAGGACATGCCCGAGAGCCTCACGGGGGTCAGGAATAGACGGAGCCCACTTCTTATGCCACCGCTGAGCCTTGCAGTCGACAATATCTTTCGGGTGATACAACACTTCCGAGCCCTCGAAGATCTCCAGAGCGGGGACAGGATCTTGACGCATGATCCGATGAAGAGCTCCAAGAGAAGATCCCTCCAAAGCCCAGTCCCTGAACTCCCGAATAGATTCAGCAAGGGCACGACGTTGGGCTCGCTTCATGACCTTATCCGAAAACATAGCAAAATCTGACAACGTCTGGATCGAGCAACCCTGGATATCTGACAGCAAGCGAATCCATTCAGACCACGGCGGCTCCAAGCCCTCCCGCAGAGCGGTATGAACTTGGTCGGGGCGATCTTCAAGCAAACGCAAGCCAGCCTGCTCCAGACGACGCTGTTGATCCTGGCCGTTGTTCCTGGATCTATGTCGGGCGAGAGAGCTAAGGACCGTGTGAAGCCTAGTCCACCACCCAGCTAGAACATCCCGTAGAGGAGTGACACGAGCTTTCTCCTGAGCTTTGACCTCCTGGACCTGGAAGGTGGGGACGACAGCACGACCAGGCCCTCGTGGGCCATCAGACCCATGATGGGCGCTCACCGTCTTCTCAACCGCCGAAACCCACGACGCGTACATGCCCGAGACCGTGACGATACCCTGCTGGTTGGACTGGTACACGGCAGAGTCCAGGATGAAGGGAGGGAGGGTAGAAGGAGAGAAACAGCAGAAACCTACGGAGGCACGCTGGGCCTCCCAGACCGACAAGGGTATACTATAAGACGGGCCGACCTTGGTGTCGGCTTCGGGGGGCTGGGTCAACCTCGAATTACCTCCTAAGCTAGCTGGCCCACTCGTTGGCTCCCCCAAGGCGGCGGAGGCACCCGACGAGACGGCGACCCCGCACGGCTTCCGCACAGAGCCAGCCGCCCCAGCACCACCACCAGCTTCCGCCTGAGAGTGGGAGCTAACTTCAGAGGGCGACCCTACACTGGACGAACTGCCCTCGGTACCACAAACCTGCCCTGGCACCCGCAGACTGTCGTCGCGACAAAAGTTCAATTCGTCGGCCCAAGGGTCCTCTTCGGAACAAATGGAGGCCTCGTCGAGATCTAAAGTGGTACCTACCGAGACCGCCTGCCTACTCAGAGGATCTCCTGAACCAGAGGGGCGTGTCTTTTTCTCATCGAGTGCTTGCAAAACATCGCCAAACATGTCGCCGTACCGCTCCTCGCGCTTCTGAGCGGCAGCTAACCCAGTGAGCACGCGTTCCTGTCTCGATCGACTCGACTTGGATTGCGGATCGGGTTCCTGACCTGGGCGAGGTACCTGCGGCAACTTGACAGCTGTCGTCAACACTCGTGTTAAAAGCTGTGCTCCCGATTGCCGAAACTGCACCTTCAAGCCCACGTGAGTCTGCCACGGAACTGCAACCAACGGCTCGACTGACTTGACAAAACTGAGCGCTGATGTAGAACAGACCACATAGTCGATATGTGAACCTTGAGCACCAGAGTTGCACGTGTACTGCACATTGGCGGTGAGGATGTGGCCCCCGACTCTGCTCACAAACTCTGATTTGGACAAGGCAGCGGCGCTCACGTTGAAGTCCGCGACCACAACCCATGGAATCTGCAAGGATAACAGGAGGCCACCGAGCTTCCGATAGCGAGCGATGTTGGCGCCGCGGAAGCCGATACCGCAGTACCCATAGAAAGCGACCAAGGCAAATACGTAACCTTTCATGTGAACTATGGTGACTCGGAAGCCGTCAGGTAGCGCAGCACGATCATGTTGTAGTGCTGCTGTATCGGCTAACGTCAGGGAATGCGCTTGAAGGTGCCCGCGAGTAAGAATCCACTCCCCGCCTTCATTGGCATGCCCATTCGTGGTCGCCGCTGGTGAGGAAGCTGAGGGCCTTGCTCCTGTAGCAAAGAGGCGAAGGCCGAGCTTCCTGGCTGCCAGGTCGTGCTTCCGAAGATCCTGCTTACAAACATGGGTCTCGACGAAGGCGAAGAACTGAACAGCCGCACGCTGGTCACGAACATAGGTCCAAATGCGATCGCCCATGCACGTGATGTTACCAAACACAAGCGTAGATGTCCCCTCTGCGCCTGAAACAACTGCCTCATCTGCCTCGCGAGTCAAAATGGGAGCCGGCAGTGGGGATGGTGATCCCGAGGCTGCCGACGCCGAGGAAGAGGAAGGAGGAGGTGCCGACCTGCCGCTTGAGCTCCCCCGTGAGCTGCACGACCTGGCCGATCCCCCCGACGAAGCCCTCGATGGAGCCCTCGTACTGGACGATGTCGACCCAGTATCTGGAAACCGCCACACCTTCGATGGACTCGGGAAAGTGGCCGCTGAAGAATAATCTGGTAAGCTTCCACAGGCCGCCGATGACGAAGACAACTCACCACTATCTTCGTGCATCTCGGCCTGACCTCACTGGCTGCCGGTGCCAGCATTGGTGGCCGCTGCAGCATCCACGCCCTTGCCGTTGCTCTTGCCCTTGCGCTTGGCGGTCTCGGCCGCCAGCTTCGCCTGGGAGATCTTCGCGGCCTCCTCCTTAACGGCTGCCTCGCGCGCCTCGCGCGCCCGAGCTTCCTCAGGGGTCTCGGGCGGCGGTGGCGCGGCCTCGGCTGACGGGGCCTCGGCCGCCTCATCAGTGTTGCCGCCACCCCCGCCAGTGCCCTCGCCCTCAGGCGCGGCACGCCTCTTCTTCTTGAGCCGCTCCTGGACTGCAGACTTGACCTCGTTGGCCTTCTGCAGCCACTCCTTGATCTGCTCCTCGCGGGTGCCCAGCAGCTCGCGAGCCCCCTCCAGCTCCTTCTTGAGCTTCAGCATGGCCTGCCTCTCCTGCTCCTCGAAGCCGTCCAGGTCCTCGAAGAGCGACGCGTCCCAGGACAGGTTCAGCTTGGGCCCCGTGTGCGATGCCTCGGTCTGGGGCGTGGGACTGACGCCCTCAGCTGCGGCCAGCACACGAATAGCATCCTTCTTCGCCGCTGCCGCTCGCACCAGAGCCACCGCTGCTGCCGACTCCTTCGCCTCGGCGGCCTCAAGGGCCGCCCTGAGACGCACGACCGCCTTGACGGCCTGATCGTGCTTCACTCCTGCATCTCGAAGAGCTGCATCAGCCTTCCGAGCCACTTCCACCTCAGAGGCAGATGGGACCTCCGCTGCCTTGGTGCTCAACTTGGCCAACTCGGCCTCGAGCGTGGCCTTCAAGGCGGGGTCCGTCGCTGCAGAGATGGCCGATGTGAGGAGAGATGTCACAGTCGGCTTCAGGATCGACTTGGGTTGACTGCTCCCGCCAGTGTCCGCTAGCTGGTTGTCCTCGAAGGAAACTCGACGGTCACGTGACACCGAGCGTGGCCTGTGCAGCTTGACCTGGCGATTACATTTCTGACAACGCCTGTCTCTCTGAAGCAGCTTCGCATTCCATTCACAAGTGCCGCAGCCACCGCACTTGGACCACACCTTGTCTGCTCCTGCCATAATGCCTCGGCTTCGCCGCCGCAACAGCCTGCCCTCGTCGGAGCGGGCGGTGCGGCGCCCCTCAAGCGCTGCGTGGAAGCGCCGAGGCAGGCGCGGGCGGGGAACGTAGGGTATGCAGAAGTGAGTGCCCTGCCCCCTGGAACCCGCTCGCGCCCCAAATTGCTTGAGTGTAGGAGGTGGAGGAGTCGGAGGAGGAGCAGGAGGAGGAGGAGGAGGACCAGTGTAAACCCAAGGGCCATCAACGATTTTGGAATCAACCCTCCCTCTAAGCTCCCTCTTCATAGGCTCCTACAACGGTTCATTTCCATTGAGGGAACTGCCTCGTCTGAAGACGACCGTTTGAAGACCTTGAAGCATCCCAAAACATTGTTCTCGGGGTTCCAACGCCACGGATCAACCTGGTTGTTGCGTTTCGACGATCCTGAACCGTGCCAGGACGCCATTCTTGGGACTTCAACACCGCGAATCAACGTAACTGTTGCGCCCGCATTCTCTTGACTCCGTCCAAAACAACTTTTCTGATACGTTGATCATGGGAACCGTTGAAGCTCTTGCTAATGTTCAATACGAATGTGCGCGGCGCTAGAGCGAGAAAACCATTCGCCCTCAATCCGTGAAGCTCTTAAATCTTTAACACAAATATGCGCGGCGCCAAGGCGAGAGACACATGTTGAAAACGGCCCGCTCTCCAGATGTACAACTGTTGTCAATTTTTTGCTTCAGGGTCATACGTGGTGAGGAAGTCTTCAGCGAAACGCCTGGCCCGCCCGAAAAACTTGCCTCGGGGTGCGGCAGGGATAAGTTATTCATAAGAATAAGCAATTGAGGAGGAGAAGGCGGAGGAGGATGGGAAGGAGGAAGAGTGAGACATGATAGGTGAAAGGGTGCGGAGCGCTGAGCGAGCAGTTTGAGGACGAGGGATGATGCTTAGCAGTTCTTGAACCTCTGGAAGAGCACGGACAGGCGCAGCAGGAGGAGGACGAGGAGGTGCCAGCCCCTCCAAGAAAGCAAGGCCGCTCCCAGTCGTGGGCCCCGCCAGGGTGCTGGGAGCCCGGGCTCGCGCCATGGGCAGCTCCTGGCTCGCGGAGGTGGAGGCCCCCCACCTCGGCGTCGTCGCCGTCGTCGTCGTCGGCGTCGCCGTCGTCGTCGTCGCCGCCGTCGTCGGCGTCGGCGTCGTCGTCGTCGTCATCCAATGCTGTCCTCGTCAGCCCCTGGAGCGAGAGGCGAGTAGGAGGAGAAGGAGGAGGATGAGGAGGATGAGGAGGAGGGGGAGGATGGTGGTGAGGAGGAGGAGGAGGATAATGATAAGGCGTGAAGGAAGAAGAGGTGCAGGAGGAGGAGGCGGAGGAGGAGGAGGAGGAGGAGGGATGACTCCACTGCAGTCGCAGCGGGGCGCTCGGAGATCACCTCTGCTACTTCACTGCTCCTCCTCCTCCTCCTCCTCCTTCTCCGGTTCCTCCTCCTCCTCCTCTTCCTTTTCCTCCCCTTTCTGTGAGGAAGGTTTGAAGGAGGGGTTCAATCCAGCAACAAAGTGGCGCTCGTCCTGCGCTATGTTTTTTTTTGTTTGGCCCAGGGGCCCGATGACGGGCCGCAGAGGTCAGATGTTGGGGCAAAATGGGTTGAACGTGTAAGCAGGATGTAAGGGGCGACCCCCTTACGAAAGACCCCATCTGCCCGGAAGCAGAGAGGCCGAGACCGAAGAGACAGATCGCCCAGACTGAACAGTTCATGCGGTCGGACGCCTGGGCAGGTCGCGCCCGACCAGTTCGTCGCCTCGGCGACGGCGGTGGACCACCTCGCGGCGAAGGTGCGGGTCGCGGTGCTCGACGCCGTCCCCACGATCGACGAGTGCACGGCGAGCCGGCGGGCGGAGCGAGCCGCGGGGCTGGAGGGGGAGGGCGTGCCGCCTCCTCCCCTCTTCCCCTCCTCCCCTCCTCCCCTCCTCTTCCCCTCCTCCTCCTCCTCCTCCTCCTCCTCCTCCTCCTCCACCTCATTTCCACCGCCTCCTCTCCCCTCCTCTTCCTCCTCCACCTCCTCCTCCTCTGCCTCCTCCTGTTCCTCCTCCCTCCCCTCCTCCCTTCCTCTTTCCCCCCTCCTCCTCCACCTCATTTCCACCGCCGTCTTCTCCTCCTTCTCCTCCTCCTCCTCCGCCTCCTCCTCCTCCTCCTCCTCCTTGCGTAGCCGCTTGGGCTCGAGTGTCCGGCGCGCCTCGGAAGAAACTCACATGTTCTTGCACGCGTTCATGTGTTCTCACTATTGGATCCGCTGGCTGTGACACGGTTTCCGCTTCTTCGTGGAGAGGCTCTTTGGACGATATACCATAATACCCGCAAGCAACTGGAATCGTTCGATGTCGCATTTTCTTGTGAGGTAGATCTGACGCAAACTGTTGAACCCATGGTGGTGTTCAGAAAGTTCCGGAGGTTGTTGGTTGGCTGGAATGCCATGAAGTAGTAAATACTCAAAGGTAGACGGGACTTCTATGGATCTGAATTTAAAGCACTGTGCTTTTAGGAGTTTGACATTCATGTGATTTTTGTTGGGGCCCTTTTCCATACCCATTTGAATTTTTCTCGAACTTGATTATAGCTTTGCTTAACGTCCCTTTTGACATCTTTGGTATTTTGTAATTGCCATCCTGTGGTCGCAAGTCCTCGTTTTGAAGAGACAGAGCCCCGCGTCCCACATCCTCCTCCTCCTCCAGCTGCCCCTCCTCCCTCCTCCCAGCCCTGCTGCCCTCCGCATGCCAACCACTTCGGTTCTCGGCGCAGCCCTCACACGTTTTGTGTCCCCATAGGGAGTTCCACCGAGGGCCCCAGTGGCTGGGAACGCATGCAGTTCCACCCCCCATCTCGGCGCACCCCATCACACGCTTCGTGGCTCCATCGCGAGCTCCACCTACGGCTCTTGCGGCAGGGTCTGCATGTAGTTCCACCCACCATCTCGGCACACCCCTCACACGCATCGTGGCCCCATATGGGGCGCCACTCAAGGCCCCAGTGGCTTTGTCCGCATGACGTTCCAACCCCATTTCGGCGCACCCCTCACACGCTTCGTGGCCCCACAAGGGGCTCCGGCTCCACCGAAGGCCCCAGTGGCAGGGACCGCATGCAGTCATCCCCATGTCGGCGCACTCCTCACACGTTTCGTGGCCCCCGAAGGAGCGAAACCGAAGGGCCCAGTGGCAGGGCCCGCATGCAGTTCCAACGCCCATCTCGGCGCACCCCTCACAAGTTTTGTGTTCCCGTAAGTTTCAGCCGAAGGCCCTAGTGGCAGGGTCCGCACGCAGCCCTCCCCCTTTTCGGCGCACCCTTCACACGCGTCGTGGCCCTACGAAGATCTGCACCAAAGGCCCCAGTGGCATGGTTCGCATGCAGTTCCACCCCCATTTCGGCGCACCTCTCACACGCTTCGTGGCCCCACAAGGGGCTCCACCGAAGGCCCCAGTGGCAGCGCTCGCATGGCGTCCCCGCACCCGAACCGGCACACTCCTCACACGCTTCTTGGCCCCATAGGGAGTTGCCGCTTGTTCGTCCCACCTGCCTTGCGGCTGTCGCGCCCGCCGCCAGGATTCCTGCGTTTAGCCGACCTCTCACGGCGCCCTGACCTCGCCCCTGAGGGCCAGGGGCGGGGTAGGCAGCAGAGCATGTTCGGAAACTAGAGTTCGGTTCCCTACATGTTGAAGGGCGTGGCAATCTTTTCTGCGAGCCCATGCTCGGCCGCAGGGACCAAAACCTGCTGCAAGAGGCGACCAGTGCAGGCCGACGAGTGCGGTGGTGCAGGGGGCCCGTGGGAAGGGGGCGGGGGCCCAAGCGAGCGGCGAGCGCGGGTCGGCGCTCCCTGACCTCCGACGTGGCGAGAAAAGTACGACGTCATGAAGCGTCACGTTTTTTCTAGGCCTCTTGGATTGGGGCCGAGTAGATGGGGTCGGAGGGTCGCGCCGCATCGCCGATGCATCGCCGATGCGGCTCGATGTGGAGCCCGATTTGCTTCACGTCGACGTCGCCGATGCATCGCCGACGTCGCAGATGCATCGCCTGTCCATTGCCGGTGCATCGCCGATGCGTCGCCAATGCATCGGCGCTGCATCGGCGATGCGCCGCGATCCCCCGACCCCATCCACTCGGACCCCCTCTAGGAGGCCTCAACATGAAGCGTCACGTCTACGCATCTCTGAGGCTTCCGCGAGCTGGCAGGTCGATCCGCGGGGGACCCGAGTCCCGCGGCGGGGGGGCCCGCCGCAACTGAGTTTGGATGTCTGGGGGCATGCAGCCTTTTCCTCTTGACGCTCTCTGGGGCATGTTCACTGCCTACAAAAATCTAGGCCTCCAAGATGGGGTTCGAGTAGATGGGGTCGGAGGATCGTGCCGCATCGCCGATGCATCGCCGATGCATCGCCGATGCGGCTCGATGTTGGTCTCGAGTTTCTCCACGCCGACGGCGCCGATGCATCGCCGACGTCGCCAATGCGTCGCCGATGCGGCGCGAGCATCCGATCCCATCTACTCGGAGCCCCTCTAGGGGGCCTCTGCAAAAGAGGCATTCCGTGGCATGCTCATCTTGACGTTGCAGAGTGCTCGTCGCCCGGGAGGCCCTTGGCCAGTGCCCTTGCGCCGTTTGGGGGAGGAAAACAAGGAAGGGTGGGCGCGGCCGCGCAGGTGAACGTGCGCTCCAGCGTGGACAGGAGCCGGATCCTGGCGTCCCTGGCGACCCCCCAGGACCTGGACGAGCGGGTGCGGGCGACGCTGGCGGAGATGCCGGAGGCCGGGGCCGCTGGCTTACCATCGGGCGGGTGGCAATGGGGGGTAACCTCCATGGGGGGGTGAAGAAGAGGGCCCTCAAGGGGCCCGTTTGGGGTGGCTTTGGGGGCCAGCAGGGGCCCAAAAGGGCCCCCAAAGGGACCCTGTAGGGTCCTTTTTCTCCACCCCCCATGTAACGAGGCCGCTGACCACGGCCACGCGCAGGGGGGGGGGTTAAGGGGCGGGGGGAAGGCTTCTTAGAAGCACCCCTGCTTCTTAGAAGGCGCGGGCCTTGTTTGTAGGTGTAGGGCCGGCGCCTTCTGAGAAGCAGCCTCCTTCGAAGAAGCCTCCCCCCCCTGCCCCGAACCCCCTTGTGCGCGCCGCCAGCAGCGCTCCTCACTGGCCTCGCCTGGGCGTCCACCCAGCGTGCTGACCGACCCGCCCCTGCCGGGCTCTGCCAGGCACTCGGGGCCGCCGCCGCAGGGAAGAACTTGCTGTGAGGGCGTGCGTTGAGGGATCACCGGGTTCCAGGGTAGAACACGCAACTCGGGATCCGAAGCTGGCCCCCAGGAAGAAGCCCAGGCTTTTCATCAGGCGGAACGTTTTGGAACAACATGCACGACCCAGGATTCCTGGGTCCTTCTGCAAACGCTCAAACGCGCGGGCAAGATTTATATCCAGGCCCATATCCACTGCGTCTTGTCTCGGAAGGGGCGCCAGAATGCCGAGGCGCTGTGGATATGGATGAAGATCTAGCCTCTTGGGGCCACGTTTTTTTGTCCATATCCACCGCGCCTCTGGTCCCTGGGAAACGGAGCCCGACACTCCGAGGCGCAGTGGACATGGATACGCGCCTTGCCCGCGAAACGCTCCCAAAGGCCCCGGTCGACGAGTGGCCCCCGTGGCGCGCCCGGTGCGCCGCACTGCGCACAGGTCGGGGCGCCGAGGCGAGGGCAGCAGCTGGTCCGCAAAGGGGCACGTGGCTCTTGTCTTCCCGCGTCGGCGGCGACGCCCTTGGGCCCCTGGGGGACCCCCGTGGACCGGGCGGGGCGAGGACCAGGAACCAGGAGGAGTCGTCCCACGGAGTTCCAGTATAGGCTATCAGATCAGAGCGTTCCCGAGCGCTCCGGAACGGCCACGGGGCCCGAAAGATCCTCCAGGGCCGCCGGGTCTCAGAGATCCCCGATTTCTCCTGGTCCGAGTTTGTCCCAGTCTTGGCTTCGTCTTCTACTGGAGGAGCCCCACCGTCCCTCCTCCACACACTGGCTCCAGGGAGTCCCGGACATCCCCAGGCATCCGACGACGTGCGGCCTTCACAGCGTGGCTCCCCTCCCTCAGGTCTCTCCCCCCCGTCAGGCTGGACGAAATTCTCTAGGAGAGGGAAAGAGGGGGGCGGGGGGGGGCGAACTCTGCTGCGCGCGGCTGGCTTCCGCCCCGCAGCCGGGCCCATTTCTCGATATACAGTGTCGCCTCCTGGCGCCAGGAGGCGCTAGGAAAGCCAGCTATACGTGATCGGGAACAGGCTTATGGCCCCCACGGATGCCAAGCATTGCGGCGGCTCGTTGGGCGCGCTTGGGAGCTCTGCTGGGCCAGACGAGTCCTCCGGTGCTTTTGGCCCCCCCTCCGAATCGGCCTGGGCCATGCTCCAAGGCTCCCGGGCGAATGCTTTGTTTTTTTGTTTGCTTCGGGGGGGCAGCTCTCTCACACATGCCGGGGAGCCCCAAGGATTCGGAGAACCTTCTGGTGTCTTTCGTGTACAGGGGGGCACGCACCCCGGGCCTCCTTGGGTCCCATCTCCCTGAGGGCTTGACGACGTTTCGCCAATCGACTCGTTGGGATCGATCCAGATAGGTCCAGGTAAATGCACATAAATCTAAGTAATTACATTCGGGTAAATCCAGGCAGATCCAGGCAGATCCAGAGATCTCCAGGGGGGAAAGCTGGAGCACATCGCGACCGCCCCAGCGCGCGCCGAGGGACGTCAGAAGTCGTCCAGCTCTTCACGACCGTCCCAGGGCCTGGGTGTTTCCCCTCCCTGGGCTGGCTGCCCGTGGGCCAGCGGTGGGCCGGCGGCGTTGGCCTCCCGGCGGGCCTGCACGCGGGACGCCGCGTGTGTCTCGCGCGGCTTCCCCCCGTGGCACCGGCAGACCGCACCCGGGGGTCGAAATTCGTCCCCCCCCCCCCCTCCCCCTCCCCCTCCCCCCCCCGTCCCTCCCCCCCCCCCCCCCCCCTCCCCCCACTCCCCCCCCCACTACTCCCCCCCCACTCCTTCCGCGCCCTCCACTTGTTCCCCTTGCCCGCCAGCCCTCATCCGAATCGGATGTTGCGCCTCGGCCTGATCCCTGATCCCCACTCCTCCCCCTTCCCCCTCCCCCTCCCTCCCCCCCCCCACTCCTCCCCCTCCCCACCCCGGACCCCCGACGTCGTGATTTCCTCACATCGTCGGATCCCAGAGGTCCAGACCCCTTCCCGCGGGGACCGGGTCTTCCTCCGTGGGGCCGTTTCTGTGACTGTCCCGAGGCCTGGGCAGGGCCCCCAGAGGCCGAGCATAGGGGAAGCAGTTCCCGTCGTGAATTTGTTCAACGCGGGGTGTCTGGGTCCCAGATCCCAGATCCCCCCCTCCTTCCTTTGTTTCCTCCCTCCCCTTCCCCTCCTCCTTCCTTCCCTCCGCCCAGTCAGTGTTTGAAGTCTGCTCACGTGGAGCTTCCATCTGGCCTCAAACGAGGACGCATTTGAAGCGCCCACCTGCACTGGAATTCAGTGTCTTACGCACCCCACGGGTGTATGACTGCATTGTTGTTGTTGTTGACCTGGGCGGCGGCCTGGCCAGAGCCTCGTGGCGGAGGCCTCTCCGCACAGCCATGGGAGAGCGCCCCCCCAGGAGTGGCGGAGGCCCTCCCCGCCAAGACCCTGACCTTCAAGAGTGATCAGAGATAGCCCTCCAGACCTACATGCCTGTCTGGACTGCTCAGAACCTCGACAGGAGTCTCGACGCCAAGGTCCTGGTGCTTTTTTTCAGGCCTCGTGGAAGGTCGGGGGAGGACTTGAAAAGCAGCATCCGCTGTGGGCTGCGCCGTGCGCTTCGCTGCGTCGGTGCGCCGGGCACGCCGCCTGACCACCAGTGATCGCGCCCCCCCTCCCCGCGGGGGTCGGCCTTCCGCAGCGTTTGCCGCAGGTGGTGCCCGACGGCCCGCGCGCCACGACATCTCGATGGAGATTCCTCCAAAGGATCAAACGCATGAGAAAAGAAACGCAACACATCGATTCCTCCAAGGCTCCTTAGCTCCACAGGCTGCGCCATGGGTTTCGCCATGGGTTGCCCTGGGCACCTCGCCCTACCGCATCGCGACTTACCCCGTCCGTCTACTTCGCGTAGGTTGCGCCAGGCAGACACCCTGCGCCTTCCAGTACCCTTCTGGATTACAATTCCCCTTCCCTGCCTGCCTTCCACATGCTGCGTGCGCCACAGGTTGCGCCAGACACTCCGCCATCTACCGAATCGCGATATTCTCACTCTGTCTACCTTGTTGTGCCTATGGTTGTGCCAGGCATCCCGCGCCTCGTCGAATTATGATGTTCCTTGCTCTGTCTGCCTTCCACGCGTTGCCCCTCAGGGTGCGACACCAGTTGCGCCAGGCACTTTGCGCCCTGGCAAGTTGCGATTCTCCCCCCTGCCCCCTCCTCCCTGTCTGCCTTCCACAAGTCGTCGCGACAGAGATGGCGCCAGACACCCTGCGCCCCACCAGATTGCTACTTCGCCAGTCCGCGTACGTCTGTGTACATACTTTTCATGTGATCGTTTTCTGATTGTTTTGCAGATCGGCGCGGGCCCTCGCCCCCCCCCCTCCCCCTGCCCACCGCCCTCATGGAGTAGATCTTGGCTGTTTTTGGCGCCTGTTTCAAGCAGGCGGGCCTCACCCATAGGACGCACCATTACAAACAGTCGCACGAAGCAGAGGTCTGGAGCCAGACCCCCCCCTCTCCCCCCTTCCGCCCAATGTCGAAGCGCCGAACAAGAAAACGCTCACCATAGGCAGGCTCCTCCATGGTTCGCGCCAGACAACCCGCGCCCCACCGACCTGCGACCTTTCTCTACTTGTGCGCACCGTCCCTGCGCGGCGCCTTGGGCGGCGGCTGACATCCCGCTCCGTGCCGAGTTGCAAGGTTCACCCGCCCGTCCACTTTCTTCAGTCTGCACGATAGCCCCGTGTCGACATTGGCCTGACGTCCCTCCGTATACAGTGGGGGCCCATGCCAAGAAACACCCTGCCTGCCTCCAGGGTGCCCTGGGTTTCTTGGGTTCCACACAAGAAATCGATGGACGTCCTGGGGTCTTAGGGCTTGATTTCTTGCGGAAGGTTTCTTGTGGTCGGGCCCCTACTGCAAGCGTTGCGCAATGCCAGCGTTTTGTTTTTTTGCACGCGGCGGAAATCTTGGGCGAGAGCCCCAGTTGGAGATTGAGCCACTCTCCATCACTTTGATTGTTGCTTGTTGAGAACGACCAGCCCTCCATCCTTGCAACTGCTCGGGTTCTTGAGCCTCAGGGTGGTCAAGTTCAGGGACGTCTCAAGCGAAACGCCCAACGCGACCTGCGGACACGTCTGGTGTTTCGGGCACGGGAGAGTCATCTAGACGGAAGGGACATGGAGGAGGCGAAGGGCGCAGGAGGAAGGGAAGGAAGTGTTGCGGAAGAGGAAGGTCGGGAGGATCGGGTACGGAGGAAGGACGGGAGGAGAAGAATAAGAAGACGGAGCATGCTACGGAAGGAGCAGGGGGCAGGATGAAGGTCGCGCTTACGTAGCAGAGAGGGGAACAGACGATGATGATGTTGTTCTTCGTGATGATGATGATGCTGATGTTGCTGCTGATGGTGATGATTATGATGATGCTGATGATGGGGATGATTCTGCTGATGATGCTGATGCTGATGTTCGTGATGATGGTGATGGTGGTCATGAGGATGATGAGAAGGAACATGATGGGGATGAGGGTGGGACTGATAACGATGATGAGGACGAGGATCATGAGGAGGAGGAGGAGGAGATCGGAGGAGGAGGAGGAGGAGGAGGATGAGGATGAGGATGGGGATGCTCATAAAAATGATGAGGCTGAGGATGAGGATGATGGTGATGATGAAGATGAGGATGAAGCTGCTGACGATGATGCTGATTATGATGAGGAGGAGGAGGATGAGGAGGAGGATGATAATGATGCTGATCATTATGATTCATAATCCTATCTTAATGTTTACGATGATGATGGTGTTGATGATGGTGGTCATCATGATGCCGATGACGATGATGATGATGCTGCTGCTGCTGCTGATGATGATGATGATGATGATGGGGATGTTGATGATGCTGATTGTGGTGATGATGATGCTGCTGATGATGATGCTGCTGATGATGTCGGCGGTCATGACGATAGTGATGATGAGACGGATGAAGATGAGAATGAGCAGGACGAGGAGGATGAAGATGAGAAGGAGCAGGGGGAGGATGAGGATGAAGATGAGGAGTAGTGTGTGGAGTTGGCTGGGAAATTGGGGTGGGAGAGTGAATGGCAGGAGTAGGAGCAAGATTAGAAGTAGGAGCAGGCATGGAGGTCGGAGCTGCAGTAGGAGCCGCTGTTGTAGGAGTAGGAGTGGGAGTGACCGCAGGTTGAGGTGGTCCGGACGATGGCGCACTTTGTGAATTTCGAGCCCTCGGTGGACGTCTGGGTCAAGATGCGCCAAGGGCGCACCATGGACGAGTGTCACAGCACCGCAACGCGTGCGAGGATACCTTCTCGTCCTCGTCTTCCTTCCCCTTCATCATCGTCCTCGCCGGTCACGACGAGGTTGAGGATGCAGGGGAAGGAGGAACGCAATTCCTCGTCCTCGCCTGTCAGATTCTTTCTCTCCTTCTGTGGTCTCTTCCCCTCTTCTCCCTTGCGCGCTGGAGGAGGGAAGGGGGGAAAAAACATGGTGGTGATGATGATGATGATGACGATGCAGATGCTGATGATGAGGAGGAGGAATAGGATAACGAGGATGATGAGGATGATGATGCTGATAATGATCATAACGCTGATGCTGATGATGCTGATAATGATGATGCTGATGCTGACGCTGTCGATGATGATGCTGATGATGACGATGCTTAGGATGGTTATGATGATGATGCTCGTGATGATGGTGATGATGATGCTGGTGGCGATGATGATGATGATGATGATGATGATGCTGATGATGATGATGATGATGATTATGATTATGATGATTATGATGATGATGATGCTGATGATGATGATGATGGTGGTGGTGATGATGATGGTGGTGGTGGGGGTGGTGGTGGTGGTGGTGGTGACGCTGGTGCCGCTTCTGCTGCTGATGATGATGATGAGGATGATGAGGAGGATCAGGAGGAGGACGAGCCTGACATCTTCGCTTCGTGGAAGAAAACATGACGGAGGGTTTTCGGCCATTTCCAGCCTCGGGGTCCAAATAACACCATGCGGGCCACTCGCGCGTCGACCGCGCGCGCATGTCGAAGACGGTTTAAAACTCTCATCACCGACGCGAAGACACCATCATCGTCTCTTGCGTGACCAGCATCAGCGATGCACCAGCCAGCGCCAAGCAGTTATGGCAATCGCCGCCACATGGGTTTAGCAAACCAGGTTGCGGGGGGGTGGGTGGGATGATTGCGCGAGCATGGGAGGTGGTCATACGCGACGAATTCAAAGTCAATCTCACCACACATATTGCGCCACACAAGCTGCACCACATAGCTTGCGCTACGTATAACACACATCCAAAGCGCATCTATGTACTGTCTGGGGCCCACGTTGACAATCATTGATCAAAACTGACCGTGGCGAATTCCGATCCACCCCCCATCCGCTCTGTTCCTCCTCCGTCCTCCTTTCCTCTTCTTCGGTCTGGGCCAGGGAGTTTTGCCCTGAGGGTGGCCGGGCCCCAGATCCGAGAGCCCGTGGGCTGTTAGATCGAAGCCGGCCTTTCATGTCAGGCAGGGCTGGACCTAAATGCTGTTTTGCTGGACTTCGACCGTGTTCCGTTTTTCGTTTTGGGAGGGAGGTACAGGAAAACAGGTAGAGCAAAACTTAAAACAACACGAAAACAAAACGAAAAAAAAAAGTTTAGGTCCAGCCCTGATCCCAGAGCGCCAGATCCTTCCCCCCGCGCGCCGCCTGCTCCCCTGGGGTGCGAGGTTATCACTGATGCGTGTGGCGCTCTGGTGTCATTGCGCCTTGGTGCTTTTCTTGTCCTGTTCACTGCCATTATGATGGGTCGAGCACTGCGTGGTTTCCTCACGGCGCCCCTCGACGATGGAGGCACGTTGTGGGTGAGATAGCTACTACTTGTGATGTACGGCGTCCACGCCACTTGAGACGCCAGCCTGTCAGCAGGTGCCCCGCGGAATTTTCCCATCCCTCGGAACCCCTTCGGTTGGTCGGCATAAGTCCGGGGCACCGCAGGCTTGCCAAGCACGGTCGGCGCGCGTGCCCTCGCACTTCCATGCAACAGCCAGGTGTTTCAGGGTGCGCACCTGCTGGATCTCCTCCCGCCTGCGCGGGCGACGGAGCCCGAGGGGACGCGAGCGCGCCCGGGAGGACGCTGCTCCTCGACAGCGTCAGGGACCTCTCTTCCGCGGAGTTCCACCTGGTGCTCTGAGCGTCGGGGGCGCACTGCTGGAAAGGACCCCCCTTTAGGATTTTTGGAGCAGGCCCGCCGGCGGAGACGGCCGTGCGCCAGGCTGGTGTCACCCTGGCCCCCGCTCCTTGGCCCTCATCGCCGGGGTGCCCGTCGGACCCCAGCAAGGGTCCTCAGAGGCTGCCCCGTGCGTCCCCCACCGCATCGGGAGCAAGGGAGGCTGGAGGGTCATGTGCACGGGGGGGGAGGGGGTGAGAAGGAGGAGGAGGATGAGGAGGAGGGGGGGGGAGGAGGGGAGGAGGAGGAGGAGGAGGAGGAGGAGGAGGAGGAGGAGGAGGAGGAGGAGGAGGAGGGAGGGAGGAGGAGGGAGGGGAGGGGAAGGAGGAGGAGGAGGACACGAGGAGGAGGAGGAGGAGGAGGAGGAGGAGGAGGAGGACGGGCGTTTTTGTTCGCTCGGGCCTGCCTCCGCAGCGAGAAGGGGCGGGCTACGCTGAGGGTGGAGCTCGATCCGGTTCGGTCGGTGTACAGGCAGCTGCCCATGCAGTGCGGAGCAGGGGGCTCCGCGCCAGCGCAGCAGGTCGGCTGCCTGCCCCCAGACAGATGGGGGGCGTGCGGACATCATGCGGGGTAGAGCTTGTTCTGGTGCCGCGCCCGGGCAGCTCTTAGCGCAGCCAGACTCGTGACCTGCCTGAGTTGTGAAAGGTCATGCCGCAGTGCGTCTGTTCCTCCGGCGGTGAGTTGTGCAGCGCAGGCCTGAGATCGCGTGCTCGTCTCGGGAGTGCCTGTGCCATGCGCCAGGCGTGATGCGTGGTGACACGATTGCGTACATTCGAAAGCATGGTCGGTGTGCATTTCTATTTCGGTGTCTTCCTCTGTGGGCTCATATTGACTGGCATCTTGCCATGCGTCCGCCTCCAGCTTGACAGGCTTCCTTATGAGCTATAGCAGCGGAACTGTCCTGTGCTCACGTTGTGGGATGCTCCATTCGTTCCGGCACTGATTACCCTCGGGAATGGCGATTTGATTTACATACCCAGTACGCAGTCAGTCACACGTGAGCTGTGCGCCGCAGTCAGCGATCAGCCCCGTCTCAGCAGGCGCGAACTTCGAATCAACCAGGACGCCGTTGACACACGATGGTGCGAAAAAGCACAGCGTCATCAAAAACACGACAGGGGGTACCAGACACCCTTTTGTTTGCGCCTGATTGTTTGAGCTGGACCCATCTGTGAGGGCCCCGTGGCTCCAGCTGGAGCGAAAACGCCCGTTGTGCGTTGGTCCAGCCGGCAGGTGGGGGCTGTTAGATGCCGTGAACAAAAACTTTCGTCTGCCCGCCCTGCACGCCGCGGTCGCCAGACCCCACAGAATGCGAGGAGTCCCTGAGTATCCCGCCTCGCGTCTGCGACGAATTGTAACACCATACCGTGGTCGCAAGACCATCAAAGGATCCGGGGAGTGCCTGAGTATCTCGCCTCGCGACGGCCCCGAGGGGGAGGCGTCATGCCGTCCAGGCGTCACGACGCATGAGCAAACAGGCATGAAGAGCCGGCATCACGAACACATCAAACGAACGGGCACGCATATCACAACATACAGGTTGCAACATAGCATGCAATGACATCGTATACCCTCGCAACATATTGTTATGGCCAGCTCATAACATAACACCCCAGAGTGTACCATACCAGATCATAGCACACCAAGGCGTGACACGTTATAACATACCATTCCATGCCATGCCATATCACATCTGATTCTGATCGCATAAACAAGCTATGGCATGCAGGAAAATAACATACTATACCACACATGATCACAATGCAACGTGTCATACTTCTTCTACGACTGCTGCCACGACGGCAAAGAGTATACTATAACACACGAATGCAACAACGCTGAATACACGTACCGTATTTAAACCGGACGCCATAGACTACAAGCGTTGCCCACTTGCATCTTGTTTCCGTGGCGAAGCTGGGGTACCCAATTGGGGGCCGATCCGCGCGACGCGGTGCAATGTAGATGATCGTGATCGTGGCCGGGAGGATTGCCTCGTTGCCGTCGCCGTCGCCGCCGTCGCTGTCATCTTCGCATCCACGGCGATGCCGCCCGTGATCATGTTGGCACAACTCTTATTTCAGTATTGTGATACCGAGTGTCAGCCAGAAGAGGAACGCCCTCCCAGGCCCCGCGACCTGGCAGATGGGGTGGGCGCGCTGGTCCGTCGCAGGATCAACCTCCCGATCGCGGGTTCGATGCTGTCCGCGCCCAGGTGGCTGCCGCCTGCTCCGCGCAAGACCAGCGACGTCGCGCCGAGGACGCGCGGTCGAACCACTCCGTTCCAGGCGCGTGATTCGGCGCAGGCGCGGCAGGCGCGTCAAATAATGCCGCGCAGGCATCGCCTCATCATGGCGGCGATGTCTCGCGCACACCGCGGGCGCTGTCGCTTCCTCAGCGCAGGCGGTGCGCATGGCTCGCCGCAGGCGCGTCGCAAACTACTGCGCTGGAGTCGTCCCGCCGTCGAGATGTCAGCGCCGGTGCCGCCGAAGGCGCTGCGCGCGGCCAGGCGCAGGTACCGCGGGCGCGTCAAACGCGAGACCGCAGGCATCCCCTCGTCATTGCGCCGTTCGCGCAGGCGCCGCGGGCACTGGTTCTTCATCGGCTCAAACGCCGTTCATGGTAAAAGGCAGGCACCTCCGGAGCGTCCAGTAACAAGGTGCAGGCGTCGCCTTGTCATCGCAGGCGCCGTCGCGGGAACGCCAGACTTTGTTTTTTTCCGGGGGGCAGGCGCCAGACAAAACTGTCAGGGAGAGGGGGGAGCGCGCGCGAACTGTAGTATCGTGTCAACGCCATTGCCCCTAATGGGGCGTCGTTCTCTCTGCGGGGGCGAGCGCAGGGGCGGACGGGGTCGGGGGGGTCTTGGACAAAGGACTGGGGCCTCCATAGCTCGAGCGAGCCACGCAGGGCTGGGGCGGCGGAACCTCGCGCGCGCACCATTCCGCGCGCACGGAGAAATCAGATCCCTATGTGGCCAGGCGCGTCTGGCACAGGCGCAGAAGCGTGGCGGCACCGATCCAAGATGTACAATCAGAGCACGCCTGTGCAATGAGCAAATAATGCCATAACACAGCACACCGGGAGCAGCAGGCACGACATGCCGTGACATGGCAAAACACACAGGACTAACCGATCGCGCCATACCATAACATCTCACAGTGTGGCAGCGGCGGGCATTACATAGTATACCATACCAGCAACAAAAACATAACAGAACTGCTCCACGACTGAATAGTAAAATACAACACAGTGTAAACACAGCATAGCATCACATACCACGGGGTGAGATAGCGCAGCCAACAAGGACCGCGTACACTATGTCATAACGTAACATAATACATTCAAACACGTTGTCCACGTCACTTGTTTAATGCTGGGAACGACATGTGGTAAATCAGACGCGAACGTTTCATAGCAACTGGTAGCAGCACCCAAACAAACATACCGCAGCATACATGCAGCAAGTTGCAATGTCGTCGGAAGTTGAATTAGATGTTCAGTGTAGAAAGTGTGGGATACAACAGAAACGTAAGAACGCAATACCAATTGAACAGCTCGGCAGAGTGTAAGTACGATCCCAGTATCAGACTACGGTGGAAGATCCTGGCTGGACTATAACAGGGATGTTGGGTCCGAACGCGAACGAACATCACACACCATAGGAATACACATACCATTGCGTTACCGAGCCTAATATTGTTGTTTGACACATGACAGAAGGGTTGCACGTAACATAACATAGCACGATTTCGTGTATATATCGTTGCAGCAGAGAGCGTAACACAGCACAGCGTTATGTGATGTAACAACATACGAACCATACGTTGCCGAACATAACACAAAATCATCTGAGACCGATTGCCAGCGTCTTATCACACGCGATTTTCGAGCCAAGGTCAGGCTGGCCACAGGAACGAAGAGGCGCACCAACGACCATTGAACGACACATCGAACGTGACAAGCGATACAAGGTAACGCTGGTCTGTCCAGAGCAGAAGAGCATGCGGCTGTATGTATACCAGGACAGAGTAGCAACGCATAGAGCACAGTTGAAGTCTGCGGAATACAACAGCGCCCGACGGACGGCGCCGAACCACACGCAACATGCAAACCGACCTAAGGTTGGCCACAGGAATAACTCATAAATACATATAGGGCATATTATAAACGAGCAAGACATGATAGAGTAGAATGCATCAGCGACCGAGCAACGGCGCTTTATCAAACGAGACATGCGCGCCGAGTTCAGGTTGGCCGCAGTAATTAACATAACCAGTCTCGGGGACAAACGCCGGAGTTTTCGTTGTTGATCGTTCGCAGCAACTGGTCATTGCGCGCAGATGTCAGGATTACCAGGCCCATGGTCGAGAGAGAACACAGCACTGTTCGCCTCTGGTCGTGTCCTGACGATCCCGACCGATTCCCAAACCCGGGAAAAGTTGCTCACCGCGTTTTTCGTCACGGGGGATCGTCATATAGCATCCGGCAGCGCCCCTTTGCACCCCGAAATCGATGACAAAACCGCCCGTCGCATTTTTCCGAAGCGCTGAGAGTTCTCAGCGTTCAGGGGTGCCAAACGAGATGGGTTGGGTTCACGTGCGGGGGGGGAGCCGTCCCTAAATTGCCAGGTCGTCTCCGATCGGAGGCGTGGGTGTAGAACGTGAGATTTCACCATCGCGTGCTTCTATGTGTATATATGCGCACAAAAACACAATGTGTGTCTATGTCTGCATAGTTGCTCACGATCTGCTTTGTATCGATATATATATATATACATGACGTATCAATGTGTTCTGTACACGCAGGTGTTTATATATGACTTTCTTTGAAGATAATTGTGCCTCATCTCTCACTTGAGCTCGACCGCAACTGCGTGTGCTCAAGTTCTTTCGGCAGGAGCCCCGTCCGCGCCCCTGCATGGCCGCGGCCGTGGAGCTGGTGGGGCTCGGCGTGCGGCTGGCCGAGGTCTGGCTGCTGCGCGGGCCGGCCTGCCCCGCGTGCCCGGCCTGCCCGACCCAGACCTGCACGCTCACGTGCAGCGGGCCGGCCACCTCCCACACCGAGCCCGCCGAGGCGCCCGCGCACGCCGCTGCGCCGGGCTGGCTGGTGGTGTGGCTGTCCGCCGCGGCCGGGGCCGTGGGTGCTTGGGTCATCGGGCGCCTGCGGCTCTTCGCCAGGCCGCCCGCCGCCCGCGCCGAGCCGTCGGCCCCGCCGGCGCCGCTGCCGGCGCTCGCGGCCCCAGCGGCTCCCGCCCCTGGGACGGCCTGCCAGGCTCCCGCGCCAGGGCCCGTGACGCCGAGTCAGCGGCGAGCCCGCTCGCTGGAGCAGGATGGATCGTAGAGTCCCAGATGTCCCGGAGGCGCAGGTCCTCATCGATTTCATGGACGACGAGAACGGGCTGCGGTGGCACGCGCGGCTACTCATCATCCAGACGCCCACGCCGGGGGTCTGGATCGGCAGCACTCCCGACTTCTCGGTCCAGCGGATCGACCTGAATGTGCATCGAGTGATCGCCCTCGCCCGGGGGCAGCCCTACCCCCCGGCGCAGTGGGCGGAGTCGTACGTCTTCGACAACCCCATCCCAGACGCCGACCTGACCCGCGTCAGGCAGCAGGCGGCCGCCCTGGCGGCCGTGCTGGGCCAGGCGCCCCCAGCGGGCCCAGCGGCCCCGGGCGGCGTGGGGGTGTGGCGCGTGGC